CTCCAAACTGGGAGCAGCTACGATAAGCACCGTAAGGTTAGAATTGGCGAAAATATGACCCATAGGGAGATAGCTTGATAGCCGTCAAGGTCTCTTTCTCCAGACTGATGAGCGTCGAGCCACCGTGACCCATGATGACGCCGGCGGTTGCTTCAGAAATGAGCAGCTTGAACCAAAATGGTCCAGCTTTGAAGCGCTCATCTCTCACTCTCGCAGCTAGCTTGGCTCTGGCTTTTCGCTTCCTCGTCGAGCGAGATGGTATGCTTTTGATACCTTGCTGCAACCCGAATGCTGTAAGCTGTTCGGCCATTCCAACATCGATGAGAATAGGGCGAGCCATCAACACTAGGGAAATAATGAAAACCACGATAGCGAAATGCACACGTGCAGGTGACGTGAGCTGATTTGCGCATGCGTACAGTCTCATGCGACGCCCTGGAACCTGGTCACATGGCCCGGAACTAGCTACGATATGAAACTGGTATGGGTCGAAAGTGGCTCTTGAGGTGGGTAAGGAGTCGTCCTAGACGTGGCCAGAGCAACACTGCTTGGCATTGGATGCACAGATCGAAATGTCCGCGACGTCACCTCCGAGTGACGCACCATTTATCGACATTTCGCTCGCCTGGGCCTCAAGGCGAGGTCGAGATCGCATTCATATCGGCTCCCAGGCATACATCCTGGTGAGATATCATGCAACCTACGCCGCGGACTCAATATCCGGCTGATATGACACCGCGGATTTCGCGGTGTTTTTTGGCTCAAGATCGAGCCTTTCTAGAGGTAACTCAAGGGTGTCTTTCACTACAACCTTATCCACTTAACGTGATACGGACTATTACCTGTGATTAGCCATTATTTACGATCATCAACCGATGGTTCACTAGTGATGCCGTAGATGTGACACTGGTGTAAAGGGCTAAGGGCTTTACTTATGCTCGCCAGCGGGGGTCATGTTTGTGAGAAAAGGCGCATCTCCAACAGAGGAGGCATTTCGATCAGTCGTCGCAAAACCAATATTAAACTGGATGAACCGCTCCTCTACAGAGGTTATGCGTCGACTCCGATTTGAAATAATGTCGCAAGTAGTCTAAGCCCCACCTTGAGAATTGAAGACCCAGCAAATCGGAATCCAGTAGTGACGACCATGTAATTCTCTAGTTGCGAAAACCCCATGACTCGTCGACCTATTACTTCGTGTGCATATCCAACCCGATATTATCGAACATGCTGATAGCAGAGAGTGCAAGTTGAGGACGATATTGACCAGCCCAGGTGACAGAATGAGAGCCTGATCATGGAATCGACTTCAAGTTACCATACGTCTCGGAATCTGAAAAGTGTAACCCACAGTATGCTGGCTCTCATCACTCAACATGGTCTATGATTGAAGATTGTGTTATCAACCCCATATTATACGCATTGAGAGTAGACAGATTGAATCCCCGAACACTGAGCTCTAAATCATTTCTGAAACGTTAAACACCTCAATATGCATGTTGTCAGCGTACCTGCCGCTGTAATGTGAAATGCTTGACCCTGAGATAGATACCGCTTACAAGACGTGGGATCATCCAGAGACTGAGTCACCGTCTATCGACTGCATGAACACCCACATTACATACTTCGAATATGGCAACAAGCGAATTAGGTAAGTTCAACCAGTGGAGAATAACCTCAAGCCAGTCACCATGCCCACAAATTGTACGATTCACTCTCTGTCAAAATCTTACCAAGTCGGTAGGCAATCCGAATGGAAAACTTCCTTGGATTCTCGGCACTTCTCCTCATCCTGATAGAGAGGCAGCTACTGATGAGCGGGAATAAGAGCTCACTTCGTTATTATCATTGAGGCACTGGAAGAAGTCATCACGAGCTTTCCAGCACTTTTTCCTATTGGCTACTCCCTTCACTGTAGCTTCAGGCGGAGCTGAAGATCGCTGGTCCATACTAGTACACAGCTATATATTCTCGGTCATGGACCACAGTATAGATAAGCCTCAACGAGACAGACTCACACGGAGGCGCCACTATGATAAACTCGGCGAACGGTATTGATTGAGAATGCTGGCATATACGGTGGATCAAGGGCGAACTTAGTGATCAAAAAGCCCTACTTGTTACTATGAGGGGTGCTACGAGAGTCCATGCGTACAGTAGAGTGACTGTGACCGCGGCTGATGGACAGAGCCAGTCGGGCAGGACCCCTGATATAGCTGGTGCTAAGTAGAGCCCAATTAATGTACCACAGACATGGAGGACGGACAATGACTTAGCTGTTTCATTGTCCGGGGGATCCTGTTGACGTATTTGTGGTTCCGATTGATCAACATTACTCAATGATTCACTGAGGTGGCTGGAATTGTTACCAGCAACTGAAGAATCGCCCTTAGCCTTGGTCATGGCATATATCGTAGTAAAGGCGTAGAGTATCCATCCGACGACACCTTGCAAACCCGCATCAGGAGCTGATAACCATGCAGAATAGGCGAATATGACCGACGAGGGTAGCAGCGCCCCATGGGGGATATACTCTGTTAATGAGGCTATGATACAGACGATCTGTAATACGAGACTACAACAAACCACATGCATCGTGCCAGAGCCAGGTAGAAGTAATAGATGCCGAAAGCTAGGCATAGTACCGAGGATATATGATAGCCGTGAACCAGCTTTACTGAGCGTCTCGTATGCTGTACTCGAGCTCTGCATCTGACCCAGATCGTTCAGAGTATGCAGATCGATGAGCATGATCTGT